AAGAACTGACTTTTAAAATGTTTAAGAAAGAAAAATAGTCTCTTCTATTTAACCATACATTTTTTATTTGATTTTTAAATTTATATGTAATACTTGTACATAGTTATGGTATGCATGTGATATTTTGATACACACACAGAATGTGCAATGATCAAGTCCAGGTATTTGGGATATACGTCAGCTCAAGCATTTATCATTTATTTGTATTGGGAATAATTCAAATCACCTTTTCTAGTTAGTTGGAAATATACAATACATTGTTGTTGTTAAATATAGTCATTCTACTGTGCTATTACACATTAGAACATACTTATTCTAACTACATGTTTGCACCCATTAGTAAATTTTGTTTCATTTCAACCTCACATACACCCTTCTTGTCCTCTGGTGAGTATCATTCTACTCTACCTTCATGGGATCAACTTGGTTTTAGCTCTCACCTATGAGTGAAAACATGTGAAATTTGTTTTTCTGTAGCTGACTCATTTTACTTAATAACCTCCAGATCCATCCATGTTGCTGAAATGACAGAATTTCATTCTTTTTTATGGCTGAATCATACATATGTTACAATTCCTCTGTTCATTCACCTATTGATGAACATACATTGATTCTATATCTTTGTTCTTGTGAATAGTACTGCAATAAACATGGGGTGCAGGTATCTTTTCCATATATTGATTTCCTTTCCTTTTGATACATTTTCACTAAGTGGGATTGAGAGAGCTCATCATCCCTTCCTTTACACCAAAAATTTCACCCGGTATCAATTTTTTTAACATGCTAAAAATGATTAATTAAAAAAGTAAGTTCACATGTAATCTGAAATTTTTAAAATGTACTGCATTTTATTAAATAAAAGTACATTTAATAAAATGATATACTACTAATTTAATTTTAACAAAAGTTAAGTTTTCTTTCTTACTATAATGCAGAAGAATATTACTCTGAACGCCTACCTCATGCATCATTCAATATTATAAGTTAACCACAAAGAGCGTCTCCACTTAGATTTTCATCATGCATGTTACATTTTAATGTCCTTACTCTTCTATAGAAAAAGTCATAAATAATGCTGACCTAATAAAAAAGAATGTCCTATATCTTGAAGCAGTGACAACTGATCACGTGCTTTCACATGTGAATACAATATGAAGAAATAGCATGGAGCAATTTCAGAGATGAATTACATCATTAGCTTTCAGAAAAATCTCTACTTTTTGTCAAGGAAAAAATAATATACTATGAATATAATCATAATCTTCCAAAAAATATTCTACTACTTTTAAGTTTATATACAAATTGTCTATCTACTAATGTTAGTTTGGAATTATTTTTTAAACTCAGCACTCTGACTTAGTGCCTGAAATATCTATGCCTGGGGTGCAGTGGTATGATTTTGGCTCACTGCAACCTCCGCCTCTCTGGTTTAAGCGATTCTCCTGCCTCAGCCCCTAGAGTAGCTGGGATTACAGGTGTGCGCCACTACGCTCAGCTAATTTTTGTGTTTTGAGTAGATAAAGGGTTCCACTATTTGGTCAGGTTGGTTTCGAACTCCTAACTTTGTGATCCACCTGCCTTGGCCTCCCAAAGTGTTGGGATTACAGCTGTGAGTCACCTGGCATCAATTTCTTAAACTTTCTTATCAGTTTTATAGCTAATAAATTATTTACTTTTTTCATGGAACTGTTTTATTTTTCCTTCATATTTGAAAGCTATTTTGTGAGATGTAGAGGCCAGTGGAAATCTTCCCCTCTTCTTTCTAAAGGTTCACTGAAAATTAACAAAGAAACAAATTAATGTAACAAATTAACAACAGGCAAGATACTAGAAAGAAAATGTGTACACATTTATTTAACATGCATGCACACAGGGGAATTGCAAGAGAATGAGGACTCAATAACCCAATGATGTCCAGATGCTTATATAGCCTTCTGCATAGGGGAAAGGGAGATGGAAGAAATGTAGTCATTTTGAAGAGCAGTATACGATGTTCAAGGAAAATGGATGGACCCACTGCTCAGACTAGTTTTAATAAATAATTCTTTTTAGGCATTGAATAGGATTAGAGATAAAGGTCATCTAGGTCCTTGGTGTGGTATTTAATTTTTAGTTTTTTTTCTCTGTAATGCAAATTGTAATCTTCCCTAATTGATTAAATTTCAGGGAGAGAATTGAAGACAATTGTGTTTCTCTTTAGTGGGTTCAGTTTCCAGGTAGATAAAAGAACTTAAGAGAATAGCCTTAACCTGTGCTTTCAAACAAAGTATTAAAAGATGGAGTGAGGAGGGGAAGGTCAGAGAGAATTGAGGCTACTTCTTTAGTTGTATGTCAGAGGGGCATGTTTCAGTATATCATTTTCTGAGCTCCAGCACTGGACATAGAATGCTAACGTTTTTCTTTCAGCATTTTTGGATTTTCATATTTTTTCCTCTGATGAGTAGTTCATTGTCATTTTTGTTGTTCACATTTTAAGTTCAACAAGTTAGATGGCTTTGGATAGGATGGTGGTTTTAATACATCAAACGGGAAAATTTTTTCTTGCTATTCATCCAGCACCTACCTTCCGGGATTGATAAGTAATGCCTTTGATCTACTGGTGAACTTGGGGAGGGGATGGTTGTAGCTTTGTTTAGATTCAATCTGCCTTTACCATTAAATGCTTTCTAGTGACTTCAAGCTACTAGCACCAGGAAGTACCTGGGACCATGCACTGTAAACTTTGGGATCTCAGAAATGTGAGACCTTGGATCTGCTTGACCATGACCCTCTAAGACTATGAAGCCATAAATAATGTGGCTCTGGGATAGTAGGACTTTGAGACTGTGAGACTGCAATAAAAAGGCTGACTCTTCTCAGAATGAGAGTCTGTGATTCCTTCTCATTGGAGCACAACATACATTAGTCAAGGGATTAACTTCTATAAAGCATTGGCAGGTCATAAAACAAATCTTTTTATCTAGAGTATGCAATCAAATTTGAAACATTGTTAATCGGAGTGTGTGTGTGTGTGTGTGTGTGTGTGTGTGTGTGTGTGTGTATGTGTGTGTGCGTGTGTGTGTGTGTGTGTGTGATATTCTATCTACAAATTATGCAGAACTCAGAAGGGGCACACAGTCATTTGAAGGCGAATAAGTTTCTATTGCACATTTGTCTTAGATAAATAATGCTATAAGCCACACATATTTACATGACTGGGGAGGTGGGATATAGTGTACACACAATCAGTAGGGAATTAAGAGTGCTGAATGGAAGTTTCCACAGTTAGGCTGTAGAAAAACATGACATATTTCACTCTATCCAAATCAATAAGAAACCACCAGAACAATCTCCCTTCCTTCCCCTATACATAACAAAGTGGAATGGATACAAGGACATTTTAAAAGAACTAAACTCCACAGGGAGGAGTCCTTTCCAGGTGAGCAGGGGTGGAGGACAGCTTCATATCTGTGCCAGATGCTAGGTTTGGGGGCAGGGCACATGGAAGAGCAATCCTGTCAAATAAAGTCATTATCCATTTGGAGGGAGAGAAAATGTTCAAACGTTTGACAAATCTGGGAGCTGAAATGTTGAATTCGAATATCAAGAAATTCCTACCCACTAAGTCATTCTTTTATGCGAGAGTTTTGCTCCAGGAGTAGCTGCAAAATAGAAAGTGAGCTTCTTCTTTCTTTATAAGCCACTTTGTGATACATAATGGTAATTACATCAATTGCCTAATTGCAGAGCTATTAGCTAGTGGGTGTTTTGTGTGTAGTAGAAGTGTCAGAGATTACGCAAGATAACCTGGATCCACAGGTGCTACGAAAATACAATCAAGGTTAAGGTTAAGCTCTTTGAAAATGAATTTCATTAAATAGACAAAATTGTCTTGCTTGATTTTCACTTTGGCCATTTGCGAAGGCAATGGATCTTCTTTTAATTGGTTGACATTGATTGCACATCAGCAAGTAGGTTTTGTCTATGAATATTAGAAGCTGAAAAGAAGACAGATGAAGATTCATAATGAAGCACACAAATCGTTTAGCTAGCTGACATCCCGTCTTAAAGATGAGGTATGATTGGGATGAGGAAGAAGTTCTGGAAAAGGATGGTGGTAATGGTTGTTCAACAACGTGAATATGTTTCACGCCCTAAATTATTTACTTTAAATTGGTTATAATGATTTTTTGTTATGCATATTTAATCCAATTAAAAAAATACTAGAAATACTAGATGTGAGTCTTTGGCTTTCACCTGCAGCCAAAAAAAAAAAAAAAAAAGCCCCCAATAAAATTGTTCATCCAAATAAAGGCTATGAAATACAATGTTAGTAGAGCAAATAGTTGTTGTGCTGTGTGTTCTTTTGATTAAAGTTCACATAGAAATGTGAAAATAAACAAGATATAAATCTGAGCTGTGTTATTTCCCTCCTGTTACAACAATGAAATTTTTGAAGAGTAGGAGACTGTAGAAATATCAGACTAATTACTAGCCAATTGGGTGATTTGGAGATTTTTTTCCTTTCCCTTTTCTCTTTCAAGGCTTCTTCTTCTTCTTCTTCTTTTTTTTTTTAATCTGCAAAATGGTGATAATAATGATAATGGAAAGTGCTTAGCATAGTGACTGGCCTCAATCAATGGTAACAATTACTTCAACAAAATCTTTTCCTTCTAAAAGCAGATAGTCAGTTACCTTCCTTTCCTTACTGATTGCAAACATTAGGAACATGGGAATTTAATTGTATTGTGAACTTTGTAAAGCTTTTAGGTATGATGTCTCAGGACTTGCTAGGATTGCTTTATTCATAAAATTTTTAAAAGGAATTTCTTAAAGAATAATGTAAAATATTTCTGAAAAAAAAAACACACGATGCAGGATTTTCCTCCAAGTCAGATTTCATTTGAAATACGGGAGAAATTGGATATGTTCTTAGTAAGAGTTTGTAGAGTAACAAATACGGGTTTCCACTGAAATTACATGATATCACAAACCTCACTGGCTCTCTTTCTTCTCTGCAGACCTTTGCAGGAAATATGAATGCGGACAGCGTGGTGCACCACAAGCTATTGCACTCAGTGAGAGCCCGGTTTGTTCGCTTTGTGCCCCTGAAATGGAATCCCAGTGGGAAGATTGGCATGAGGGTCGAGGTCTACGGATGTTCCTATAGTAAGTACCCACAGGTACCTTTTATGATTGCTGAGTGTGAGTGGTACTGTCTACATGACATCAGTTTATCTACATTGAGATTGACAATTCATCTTATTTTAAAGTTATTTCTAGACTTTCGTATGCATATGTAAAAATGTTCAATTCAACCCCAAAGTAGAAAAAACATTCTTCTTAGGGCTAAATGAATTCAGCTGTGATGGTGTGATAAAGACTCAACAAAACATTCAAAATTAATAACTCAGGGAATTCAGTAACAATTTGTCCTTTGCAGTTAAAAAAAATATTAGGTTTACTTCTTCCCCGGATGTGGCGTAAGGTATTATAAAGTCTTCTCTGACTTGCTTTCCCAGAGCTATGAGAGAAAAGCATTCACCTCTTGACTTGTTCTAGAACAAGTTCTAGAAGATGAGGAGAAAGAACAACTAAATGTAATTCCCAAAATGCTTTCTCCTTGAAATGATGTCCTTCATCCATTCATCTGTGAATTGTTTGTACTAAATTTGAAATTAGAGCTCTATCTTGCACACAAAGAAGATTATAAACATGGTTAGAACTAGTGATCACTCTATAGTAAGGTTAAAATTATTCCAGGAAGGTTTCCATCCCTATAATTCTTTCTTGCAGGCTTTATACTGAAACCTAAAATTGCATAATAATAAATTGGTTTTCCGCCTTAACCAGTGACATATTCTGCTTATGTGCTAAAACCCAATGACCCTCATGCATAAACCCATTTGATCACTAACACTTTCATCCAGACAGGTTCAATAGATTCCTGTTTTGAGCTGCAGGAGCATCTAATGAGTGACATGTTTCTCTTGATTTCCATAGTGAGATCAGCTGTATCAGAATCAATAGAAGTGTCGCCTAGAAAATGCATTTCCCTCACCCCATCTCACACATACTGGATTCTAATTTCTGAAAATGGAGACCCAAAAAGCTGAATGTTTACAAATTCTCCAAGTAAACTTCGGGCACAGAGGTGCTAAAAATAAAGCCCTGCGCATTGGGAATTTACTGCTAAAATGACTGTATTTATCTTGAACAAGCACTTTCGGAAAGAATGTGGTTTAGAACAGATGCATCAACAAACCATTAGGCCCAGGAGGGACTGTCTTCCACTCTAAACTTTGTATGATAAAGCACAGAACACCTACAAGGGTGTATGTGTCTTATCCTGGGATCTCTGGGGCATTAAAATTCTCTTGTTACCTCCTCTTTGATAACAATTTGTCACTGCTAGGAGATTATTTTTAAATACAGTATGAAGCTTTTATGCTACAATTGAGTTTGTTAGTATTACTACACCAGCCATCTATTTTGATCTAAGAATCTTGACTCTTTAACATGTCCTTATCCTTTTGCTTTTTCTCATTCTGTTCAGTTGTACTTATTTTTCATGTCCATTGTTAACTCACACTGTTTCCTTGCACAGAAAGTCACAGAATCGAGTTACATCACAGGCTGCAGGGCTGAAAGATGTCTTTTAGCATCTTCTGGTGATGGACTCCTTTGAGAATCTGATGAGGAGCACTTTACTCAGAAAAATGATCATGATAACATATACCTTTTCTACAGTATGAGAAGGTTCAGAGGTCTGCCAAAGCCCAGTTCTAGGCCGAGGGAAAACTCCCAACTTTGTGATAACAGAGTCTACCTCTCTCTATGTAAGCTCCAGGTCGAGCACATCCTTCAATGGGATAAACTGCCTTCAGGGAAACCTCACCAGTGGTGGAAAGTTAACAACCTTGGGGAGTTGTCGGATACAGAATGTTTTTCCCTCTGATGTGCCTCAAGCAGGCACCCTATAATCCTCAATCACTAGTGCTGATGCTTTGGTACTTTTTTTCCTTTGCGGGAACAAAATTTCAAAAAATGAATGTATCTTTCTGTTTCCATCTAAAACCAATGCGTTAGTATGCCTTTTGAACCCAATTCTCCCTTTCAGTATTATCATATTTCTTATTTGACTGGATTGTTTCTTTTCTTTCTGTTCCTTTTTTTTTNTTTTTTGAGATGGAGACTCACTCTGTTGCCCAGGTTGGAGTGCAGTGGTGTGATCTCAGCTCATTGTAACCTCTGTCTCCCACGTTCAAGCGATTCTCATGCCTCTGCTTCCCAAGTAGCTTGGATTACAGGAGTGCACTACCTAGTTTTTGTATTTTTAATAGAGAAGGGGTTTCACCATGTTGACCAGGCTGGTCTTGAACTCCTGACTTTGTGATCCACCCACCTTGGCTTCTCAAAGTGCTGGAATTACAGACGTGAGTCACCACCCTCAACCTTGACTAGATTGTTTCTAGAAACATAAAATCTTGCTGTAAGCACTACCAAACAAAACAACAAAAACCCATGGTCCTATGTAGAAACTACGTCTCCTTTTCTTCCTCTCTCCTCTTCACAGAATGGCTTCTCTCTAAAACTTCTTCCTAGTTGCCCTCCCCGCCTGCTCACCTCCCTTCACATTGCAGCTGATTCCAGTCAATACTGTGAAATGTGATGGGCAGTTTATCGTGTCAACTTGGCCAAATGGTCCCCTGTTATCCAAACAAACACTAATGTAGTCACTGCTGTGAAATGCTTGGTGTCTACAATCATTTGACTTTAGGTAAAGGAGATTATACTAGGAAATCTGAATGGATCTAATTCAATCAGTTGAAATGCTTCAAGAGCAGAACTGAAATTTCCCTGAGAGAGAAAAAGTTTCACCTGTTGGACTGTAGCTTCAGATCCTGCCTGAGAGTTTCCAGCCCACCCTATGTCCTTCAGGTGTGTTTAGCCACACCCACAATTGTATAAGCCAATTCTTTGGAATTAATCTCTTAATATTTATAAGCATCCTACTGGTTCTGTTTCTCTAGGGAAACACCAATGCAGAATGCTCTAGAGAAACTACTTTTCTCAAGATCACCAGTGACTCCCAAGAAGCCCAATTCAGTGGACGCAATGTTTCTTAATTCACTCAAACTCTCAGCAGAATTTGGTTCAAAAAGCTATGCACATATTTTTAAAACTTGTCTTTTCCTCCTATCTCACTTGCTAATTGGCCATCTCAATTCTTCTACTAGTTTTCCATCTACACTCCATGCTTTGCTGAATTTATGGTTTTGTACATTTAAACACATCTACATAATAGTCACCCCACATCTGTATCTCATGGCCTGACCTCTGAGATGATGTATGCAGTTGCCTACTTGATATTTCCACTTAAAGTATAGTAGATCTATCAAACAGAATATAGCAAAATGGAACTCCTGATTAGTGGCGCCCTCAGCAACTTTCTTCTGTACCACTCCTCCCCATCTCAGTAACCGGTATCAGTCTCCATTCACTTACCTATGCAAAACTCTAGGAAACAGCCTTGGTTCTTCCCTCTCTATAACTTTAAGTCCTGTGCAACTTACCCACAGCTCATGGTACCTCTGTCACTTCCTTCCTCTTAATCCTCCTAAAATGTGTCCTAAATCCATGTGCTTCTCCCACCTTTGTAAGTAGAAGCCTCTGTCAGTTCTCACCTGGAGTTGTTAAGCAGCCTCCTTTCTGGAGTTCCTGCTTCCACGCCACAACCTCCCCAAAACCATTTTTTACACAGTCACCGAAATATTCTTTATAAAGAAGAATAAAAGCACATCACTCCCCTACCTGACTCATGTAAAATAAAATTGAGATTTCTTACCAGAAAATAAAAGTCTTTGTTGAACAATTGTTCCCAGAACTTACAGGGATGACTCCTTCTGACAATGTGATTCTTAATTATAATGTCACCTTCTTGGAGTGACACTTCTTCCTCTAAAGTCAGCTGCCTTCTTGTGCACCCACCATTAGCCCATGATTATATACCCATGGTTATATGCCCATGGTTACATGATGTGCTGTCATTTGCTTTGTGGTCTCTGCCATAAACCAGAATCTCATTGGTTGGGTTTTGCTTACTTGTTTCTTGTTTGCCTACTGTAGTACCTGCACGGGAATATAAGTACCATGAGACCAGGCACCTTGTCTGCTAACAGTCAGCAATTAATTGGCACAAAAAGGCAATCAATAAGTACATGTTGAATGGATACATAGATATATCAGTCCAACCTCACTCTCTCAGCTTAGGCAACCAGGTTCATCTGGAATCACTTGGTTTTAATAAACCTGTTGTCATTTCTAAGAAACTAATTTTGTGTCTATGGGCTTAATAATCAAAGGTTTAGTTGAGTATGTTGCTAGAGATGGGTAGAATTATTACAGTTCTATAATTTCTTCAGACTTAACCCTTTATAATTTTGGAAAAATTAGCATATTTCTTCATTCCCTAATTTATTCATTTAGTAGATGCCATTTATTTACCCCTTAAGATACCAGGTATCTAGGAATGCCCTAGGAACTTCAGAAAAAATAAGACCTTTTTCTGGACTTTATCAGTTTCGTATTTATATTTTGAAGCACTTTTCTTGTGATTACATGTCATCAGTTAACTGTGTGATTGTTTGACATCTGCTTCTCTTGACTTGACAAGATACTTTCCACGATGCCCTGGAGTGTCAGTATTGCCAAATGTTGGAAGCTGAAATCTACTGGACGGAATACATCTTAATGAATCTTCTAATACCCAGATAATTTTTTTTATTCACAAAATCAAAGTTAGCAACCTATGATTCCTGAGCATATGCAGCTCCAGGTACAAAGTTTAGCTGTTGACTGGGCCAAGAGTATCTGGGAGCACGCTTCCAATGCTCTATCCCTTACCTGTGTTCTCAGACCTAGTTCTATGTAAGAATCACCTTGGGACATAATATATTTTTAACATACCTAATCTGGCTGCACTTCAATTACATCTTAATCTCTGGGTAGGTTCTCCAGTACTTGAGTAAGCATTTTGTTTTCGGTTCTAGGCAAGTGTGATGAGGAGCCGGAATTTAAAGCTATGATCTCAAACATCACATTCCTAGTCTGCACTGTCATTTCCATGCCTGTGATTGCTAATCCTAAGGCTTTTAAATGAAATCTGA